AAGTGAGTTCAGCAAGCTCTTTCCCAGTGTTTAGCAAGAGGAGGGATGATGAGTCCTTTGATCAGCCATGCAGCCCATGTGCAACCTTTACTGCTCTCATTTAACTTCATAACCACTTTACACCTGCCATAGAAAGTGATGTCACCATAAATAGTACCAATAACTTTGATGTTACATTTGAAAAGACAGCAATAAACTGTTTCCAGGCTTACACAGGTGCTGCAGTCTCCACCAGCAGTCAGGAGGCTTTTCTGCAGTGATTGCTAAAACAGAGGGATTTGAGGAAGCCCCAGGGCACAGTCAGACCTCATGCTCTCCTGGCAGTCTGTTATACAGCCCCAGTATGGGTGGGGCCTTGCCGCTCTGCCCCTTTCTTCGGGGGCTCTTTTGCCCGCAGCTGTGCGCAGCTGTTCCTGCAGCCCGGCAGAGGCAGGCGAGGCAGTGTCTGTGTGTCCGTGTCCGTGTGTCCGCAGGCGCGGACGGGCACCTGCCCCTGGCCATCTAGCGGACACTCAGCTCGTGCTGCTCTGGGCTTGTGCTCCACAAACCTCGCTCCTTGAAACCCCCTGTTGGAATGCTACGTCAGAGGCAGGACGAGAGATTGGTTGAAGCAAAATTTCACAATTCTCAAGCCTGGAATTTTCCTTTAATAGATGAGGAATGCTTGGGCAGGAATGCTTTTTATATTAAAAAAACCAATTTTTTTATATTATTTTTTTAAAAAATCCAATATAAATTCTCCTGGCTTTTTACTCTAGCTTGGAAAATAGCTGCCAAGAAAATGAATGTTACCAGTGGAAAATTTTAGGTTGAAAAAACCAGAAACAATACACAGGAATACCACAGATGTTTTAAAATATCCCTTCACTAATTCAGATTTCTGAATTATGGCTAACCTCAGGGAGATTTCTCTCTTCAGCAGACAATGTTTCAGACACTGATTTGGTAAACAAACTAATATGATGAATGTGGATAACAAGGATGTGTCAAGTCTTATGTCCCCTTGCAAAATGAGAGATTTCTCTTCCTACAATTTGCTCTTCTGCATCATCAATAATCTGGAGAAGTATCAGTTGTCATTTGTGATTCAGAGGAGGAAACTGTTGAGATTATCCTTGCCAGTCTTGACTCCAAAATTCCCACTCCAAAACCCTTGCAACACTATAGTCAAGTACAGAGTGCCTGAACTTCTATTGCTTTGGGCAGTGGGCACTGGAGGTGAGTGTTAGGTGATGATTAAAGTTAGAAACATTCCCACTTTTCACAATACTGCAAGACAAACCTGTGCACTTTTCTCCATTGTTAATTTTTGGAGAAAAGTTTAATTTTTGGAGAAAAGTTTAATTTTTCCAGGGCTTCCTGGAGCAGTTTACCAGATTTCACAAAGGGTGTTTGTGTGAAAATAGAGGTGTGAAACTTTTTGGGGTGTAACACATTGGTCCAAAAGACACCTCTGCACATCATACTGTGACAGCTTTGCACAAACATACTTCAATCTAAAATTAATCAGAAGGTTTCACCACTGCCCATGAGGTGTGGAAGCAGAAGCACAGTCCTTTCACCATACCCTGGGCTGTGCAGCAGAGACCCAGATGAAAACAAGTGAGAAGCAAAGTGCAGGGTACAGAGCAATGCCAGTAAAGCATTTTTGCAAAGCTGAGCCAATCCTCAGGGTGGGAAGGGGAAAGAAGAAATGTGGACAAACCTAGACATTGTTTGAAGCAGACCAAATCTTACAGTCAGAGGAAGCTGTAGAGTAGATATCTCAGAGCAAGGACAATAAGCAGCCAAAGAATACCAAAACCACAAGAGATGTGTAAGGTGAATAAAGTGTAAGGGGGAAACCCTCTCCTGGAAAAGTGAGGTGCCAATACTAAATAACAGCATATTTGGATGTTGTGCCTGATGTGCCAACACAGCTGAAAATAGCTCTGAGTTACTAAATCACTGTGTAATTCAGCTCAGAATCAAGGCATGTGAAAATTTTGGTAACACATCGATAAATTTGAAGAAATCCCTGAGATCTTCTCGTAAATGAAAGCCCCACTGATGGAGCCATCTGAATGAGGACAAAATCATGGAAACAGGACACAGGGGACAATCCTGCTGATTTGAAATGGCATGAGGGCTGCCAGTGCCATGCTGGAGCTCATCACTCAATGTTCCTCAGAATGAGCTTGTGACAGAGATGCTTGACTGGGATCTGATCCCAGCAATACACAGTATTGAGTACCATTGGTTTCACTTCATTTCATGATGAAGCCTCAGATGAAGATATGGTTCCTAGTATTAAAGCTAGATGGTCAGTCTTCCTGATTTCTGTTCTGCTAAACATTCTGGGATTTCAAACTTTCATTTTTCCTAATCAAAACCAAGAAGAAATTCCCATCAAATGACCAAAAATTGATTTTGGAAATCTCAGAATGATCTTACTGAGATGTTGATGCAATTTTGATTTTCTCATTTGGCTTTAAAGCATAGATTTTGCATGTCTTAGGCAGCTGAGATTAAAATACGGCATTCAGAAGAAAGCTATAGATAATTTTGATTACACTTCCACTGGCTGGACACAGTTTTTCCTGTGTGATTGAATCAGCATTTTTTGATTGAAGATTTTCTACCAGCTCTAGTCAAAATTGGTCTGCCAGCTGGCAAAGCTTCTGCTGCCTCCAGCATTTGCGTAACACTGCCATGGAAAAGGGGATGCTCCAGGGTAGCAGGTTTAACACTGCCATGGAAAAGGGGATGCTCCAGGGTAGCAGGTTTAACACTGCCATGGAAAAGGGGATGCTCCAGGGTAGCAGGTTTAACACTGCCATGGAAAAGGGGATGCTCCAGGGTAGCAGGTTTAACACTGCCATGGAAAAGGGGATGCTCCAGGGTAGCAGGTTTTGTGGCAGTGGGCAGTGCTGGGCCAGGCTGAGACCCAGCCAGGGAAAAGGAAGAGGAGCATGAGGCAGGCAGGAATATGATAGGGGCATCAGGGTAGGAGGGAAGAGAAAGGGCAAGTGGTAAAAGCATCAGTAAAGAGGCCCCTGCAGCTCTGCACCCTGTGCTCTGGGAATGGGAGGATTGCATGACCTGGAGTGAGACCCTCTGCCAGCATCCTGCTGACTGCACAGCCAAGCAAACCCATGTTTCACACAGGCATGGAGGAGAGGGTGAAGAGAGGAAGCTCTGCATTCCTGAGGGTCTTTGCTTAGGCCCTGGAGGATTTGCAACCCTCCCCAGTCCAGGGGTTACAGACTGGCAGTATGAAAGTGTAAATCACACCGTTTATCATGCAGAGGAGATGACGTGGTGAAGCAGCCTCCTTCCTCAGCCTGGTAAAATCCTCTCTGACATGCACAGAGTGTCTTCTGCTGGGAGAAGCTGGGATCACAGCCACTGGGACCACCACCCCACCCATTCCACAGAGCTGTCTGGGGGAGCAGGCTGGCTGGGCTCCTGGGAATGGCCAAGGGTGGCTGTCATCAGTGCTAGCAAGCCACCCATCTGCCCACCCTGCAGTTCTGTCCCTACCATAAGGTTTCAGTGCTGGGCAGTTCTCCTCTGCACAGGTAGGAGAGATGATATTGCCTTGCCACCTGAGACCAGGACATCACTCAGTGGCATCAGTCTTATGGTCCCCATGGCAGAGCTGGGGGACTGGCACAGACCCCCAGTGCTCCCCACTGCAGCTTGAGCTCCCCCACAGCTACGAGTAGTGGGGACAAGAGAGGGTTAAGCTGTCAGCTCTGTAATGTTAAACAGGTGTCAAAGGCACCTCCATATATCTGCAGATTGAAATCAAATTCTTTGCAGTATAAAAAGATAAATTACCCAGGCGATTCCCGCCTCATCCCACTCATCAGGCCAGCGCCAGACGGCAAGCAATTTTTTTTTTTAATGTGCTAACGACCTAATCAAGCAATCAAGTCGGAGAAGATTGCGGAGTGACCCCGAGCATCCATCTGCCAGCGAGACCCCGACATTCATTTCCATTCTGCCGTGTACTTTCCGGGAAAGGGAGGGAAAAAAATAGAAAAGAAAAAAAATCCTAAACAAATTAACACCCAATTTTCTGTGAGTCTAATTAGTTAAATGAGGAGGTGTTTGGGGTGTCCACCGGGAGGGAGGGACTGCCTCTCGAAGAGGGACCTGGTAACTCCGTGGCATTAATTAGCGCAGGTCAATGGCGTGGTTCCCTGGGGACCAGCTGCTTTAATTTCCCGTGATATTTCAGTGCCTGAGGCCCATCGATTCAAACTGAAATTAACTTATTTTTCAATCAGGCCTGGGCTGCCCCTGGGGCTGACTCTTCCTTTGCCTCCTTCTGAATAGACCTCAAGCAATTTTTCATCTAAAGCTGATGCCTCTGCTCGGGGGGAGAAGGGAGGGGAGCCGGGGAGGGAGGAGGGTGAGGGAGACAAGAGGAATGGAAATCGGAGAGAGAGCACTAATAGATTTCTGCGAGTATCACCCCCTCCCTGCCATTGCTGCCTGCCTCTCTGCTCACTGCCCCCCAGGTCACAGCTCAGAGATTATTCTGCCAATTTTCTGAGAAGATGAGGGGTTTTTCAAACTGGGAATTCAGGGCAAAGCGCACAGAGCAGCTTCCCCCTTCTTTCGAGCATCCGCCCCCATCCCAGCCCTCCCTGCAGGCACCGCTGCCTGCGGCCCTGTACCGCTGCTCAGACACACAGCAAATAATAAAAGAAAATCCCAGGCACGAGAGCCAAAAGCCACTAGAAAAAAGACGTTGCAATGGCAAATTAATTACATCCTGTGGAGAGGGATGGGACCTGCTTTCACGCTTGGCCCTCTCCACTCCTTCAAGGGAGGGAGGGAGAGATACCCAATGTCTGTTGCATGGGGGAAGAGGTTGTATTGCCTTTGGGATAAACATCCACCCATCTGCTTTCATCATGCTGCAGAAGTACATGCAAGTTCCCACGTGGGAAGGGGCCTGGCATGCCTTCTCCATGCACAAAACCCGTGTCCCTCCTTGCTTGCTCCAGGTTTGGTTCCAGAACCGCCGGGCCAAATGGCGGAAGAGGGAGAAGTGCTGGGGCAGGAGCAGTGTGATGGCTGAGTACGGGCTCTACGGTGCCATGGTGCGTCACTCCATCCCGCTGCCTGAGTCCATCCTCAAGTCTGCCAAGGATGGCATCATGGAGTCCTGTGCCCCTTGGCTCCTGGGTAAGAGAGCAACCAACTTCATGGGGGATGGCAAATGGGTAGAGACAGGGGGATGCAGGGAAGAAATCAGAGTCATGTTGAAAATAGGTGAGGGGCAGCAGGGCAAGGTCCCCCCATCCTGCCACCCTCAATGCCTCTGTCTGCCAACGACCCTTGTTAAAAGGGTTCCATCAAATTCCTGCTGGACCTTGGATCATGACCTGCAGAATCTGCCTGGACACAAATTTGCCCACATGCTCAGGCTGGTGCTAGCCTTCCCGTCCCATGGCTCAAGCATATTTCATGCCCAGCTCTGAGCAGGGGTTCCAATCCTTGCCCAAGGCAGGAGGTCATCCCAGTCTCACTCCTCCAGCCCTGTGATGTTGGATAGGGTGCTAGGACTCCCAAATGCTCTGTCTTTGCCCAAGTTTCACTTGGTTTTCTGTGCAGGCATGGAGATAGCAGCTACCCTGTCACACTCCTGCTCTTTGCTTCCCTCTTTCTGACCTTCCAGGCTGGTTCTGCCCCAAAACTAGTATCTGGCATCTTGACAATGGGCTGTCCTGTCCTTATGTCTGTGTGAAACAGAGAGAGGCAGAAGGGTGTTTGTGGTTTGACACAGAAATAAAAATATCCCTCCTAATGAGGGATCTCCTTCCCCAGCCTCGGTGAATCTCAGGCAGCTATGCTGCTGTCTGAGACCCTCATCTCCATGCAGGAACAAGTTAGCTTCAGGTTCACAGAGAGAAATGAAGGGGAGAGTAATTATAGACCTTTGGGACCAGCCACAGTCCACAGGTGCTGGGCTGCCCTTGTGCGGGGGCCAGAGCGAGTGGCTCGCCATGACTGCTGTGTGAAGCAAGGGTTTCTGCTTTTCCTTAATTCTGGCCTCTCTTTATCTTTGCTGTTTTCAGTTCAAGATGGCTTTCCCATGCCCAGGCGCTTTTCTAAACCCGAATACCAACAATTCTTTTTAGGGATGCACAAAAAGTCTCTGGAGGCAGCGGCTGAGGCGGGGAGGAAGACAGAGGTGGAGCGCCAGGCCCTGCCCAAGCTTGACAAAGGTGACAAGGAAGAAAGGGGTCCTGATCCCAAAACCACCATTTCCCAGGAGGAACTGAGAGAAAACAGCATTGCTGCCCTCAGGGCCAAAGCTCAGGAGCACAGCACCAAAGTCCTGGGGACCATTGCCGGGGACAGCCCAGCCCCAGGCAGGAAGCCGGAGACAGGGGAGGAGGCGGCCGTGGCAGAGGATGAGAGACAGACGGAGAAACTGAACTCATCGCAGAAGGAGGAGAAGCTGATCTAGGGGGAACAGAGGTGGCAGAAGCCAGCCCCGACAGACACTGTGTCCTCTGGGGGCCATGCTCCTCTTTGGACTGCCAGGTGTCCCTGGCCACCCCTGCCAGGGAGAGGGGTCCTGGTCTCTGTGTTTGGGGCTGCCTGGCAGGGGTGCCCACTGCCTGCTCCCCTTGAGCATACCTCTGCTCCTCGCTCCTCCACCCCACCAGGCCTTCCTCACCCCCCACCCCTTCCTTCTGGGGAACTGGGAAGTGTCACATCATTGCTGCCACCAATGACACTAAGGCTCTGGTCCCTTCAGCCTCACACCTGGCTCTGGGGCTTTCTCCTTCTGCTGCAGCCCCAAACCCCATTGGCTGTCCTGAAGCAAGCCTATTCCCTGCCTCTCCTTGGTGCACATCTCTGCCCAGTGCTGCCCAGGCCCCGTCCCCTTGTGCCCTGTCCCACGTGCCCCAGGCAGACACGTCACCTTCTGCTGGCCATTGCCTCTGCCTGTGGCCCAGGCTGCAGCAGAACAAGCCCATGGCACAGCTTGCATGAAACCATGACCATCCCTCTAGGGCGGTTTGCATCTTCCACCCATCTCTCCCTGCTCAGCACCAAGGTCTGCGGGGAAGGGACTGCAGCTTAAGAGCAGTTATGTTTTGCCTCTCTTTGGCAGGGAGAGGCAGGTTTAGCCCACAGGCACGACACCCTGGTCCTACCTGGCACCCTGAGCTGACCCCAGCCCATTTCACTGGCTCCTGCAGGGCTGGGTCTGACTCTGCACCGAACACCAAAACCCTACACCCCTGCAGAGGGGATGAATGGTGAATTTATTTATTGAATACATTATTCTAGGTGAGACAACAACATCCACCTAATGTATTTATTGAATTAAATTTGTCCAGCACACCCTCTGAGCGTTAAAGGGAATGACAGCCATGCACATCCACCCTGATACACCCTGTAACGTGTACACACATCCCATAGGAGCACACGCAGACCCACACATCCAAACTCACTCCTTGGTACCATCACCTTCCCACCCCAGTAAAGCACTATTCCCCCTCTGAAAGCCGTAGGACAGTGACTTCCAGGTGACCCTTTTTGTCCTGCTTTCAGCTGTGAGCACCCTTTCCCCAGAGCTACTGTTTCTCTTCCATCAGAGGTAAAGCCCAGACATCCAACCTGTTTGTCTTTGTCCCCCGATCGTTTGACGTGTTAGATGATAGCCCATGGAGTGTAAATAATGTATATACAGTGAGAAAATAATTCAGTATTGAGGTGTTTGAGATATGGAGCTGTAACAACTTCTAGTCATCCAGCATCTGTGATTTATGTGCCATTTTCTGTAAAGATATGAAGAAGAATAAAGCTAAACAGGAATACTGTGTATGAGTCCAGTCACCAATTTTCAAGGAGGGTGAGTTCAGCCAAAGCTCAGAGGGAGTTGGATGTCATGCTGTAGCCAGACAGAGGTAAGAGATCCAAAGCAGCCCAGAGGTCTGCACTTTCCTCCCCACTGGGGCATGGAAGAAATGGGGCTTGGGTCTCTCTCTGCAGTGAAATACAAAACTGAAAAGTGTGTGCTTGTGCTTGGAGCAGAAGTCACAGCATACAACTGGTAAAAGAACAAGTCCCTTCAGTGTCCAGAGCAGGCGTGGTGCTTGGGGTCACCCCATATCACATTGCCCTGGTGTTCAAAGAGTCAGACAGACCTCCAGACAGGCTCAGCCTCTGCCAAAAACAGGCTGCAGGGCCCCGCTGGCCTGAGGACCTGGGGCAGCAGCCAGACACCACAAATGCAGGGGAGCTGGTTGAGAGGGAAGGGCACCCGGGACTTACAGCTAGGTGAGCTCCAATTCAAGAGCAATGGAAGCCTATTCTGGGTTACCAGGCACAGTGGGTTTAGTGGTGGCCAAACACCAATGCATCCTCTAGAATTATTAACTCATTTCCTGCTGTGAGAGGGATTAGGAGGAGGGCAAAACAGGCTCAAAACTTTAAAGGGTATAAATAAAACTTTATTAATAGAATTAAAAGAAAAATATAAAAAGAAAATCAGAATAAACCTTCAGAACACTTTTCCCCCCCACACACCCTCTTTTCTTTCCCACTGAAAATGTAAAGAGACAAAACCTGAGACTTTCAGTCAGTTTGTCACCTCTAAAACAATCTTTCTTCAGTTCTCTTAGGGAGAGGAGTCTCTCTTGCCACGCTATGGAGACTTCTCCACAAGAAACGGTTCTCTCATGGTTTTTAATTTCCACATATAGCAGCCACCTGGAAATGTGAAGTCCCTCCCATCTCTTGCAGCCTTCCCACAGCCTGTGTTCATGGGCCATGTCAACTTATAGGGTACTATTTTAAGGATGAGCAAAAGTTCTTTTCATCCATCTCTGGGAACAGAGGTTTTCTTCTTTCTGTTCCTGGGCAAGGTTTCTCCTCCCTCTCATGTCTCTCTGTTCAAGCTTCTCATTGGATCACAGCCACTGCAACATCTGCTTATTTCAACACGGATTCCCTCCAATGCATTCCATGAATTACAGGGAAAAAACAAAGTCTGATATATCAAATGTATCTTCACCATAGCCTTACAAAAGAATTTCAGCCCAAAACTAAGGCATCTCTTCAATCCCCTCCCATCTAGAATTTGACTCCTTCCTCACTGACTTCAGCGTCCCATGTTGTTCTTCTCTACGTGTCTTCACCCTTTCCTTTTCCTGATTCGGGAGAGAACTAGTATTTGTAGGCTTGTTTGTTCTCAAGTTTAATCATTGAAACAGTTTTTATCGAGCTCGGCAGTGCTGAAAGGTTGATCTCATCCAGGCTCTGCATCAGAGAGATCGCTCATTGCGCCTCTCGCTGCTGGTCATACGCTCTCTGCCAACACTGTGCGAGTCGTGCCGGCCGCTGGCTCTACTCAGTGCTTTTCTTCACATGGAGCACTGAAAACAGGAAAAGCTGCTGCTGCCATTTTTGTCCTTCTGTCCACAGCATGGCTGGCTAGAAGGGGCTAAACAAAGTTCATTGTGAGCCATGCTGAGGAGCCACAGCCGTGCGCTGCTGTCCTGGTCATGCCGATTTTGGCCGTGCAGTCCCGACTATGTGGCCGCTCCCGGCTCGGGATGACAGCGGCCACTCCTGGCCCTGGCTGCTCCTGGCCTTGGGGCTGCACATGGGGCCAACTGTGGGGTCACTCCCTGCGCTGGTCCTGGTCTCGTGGTTGCACTCAGCGTTGGGATGGGCCCCGTCAGCACGGCCTGGTGAAGCCGCTGGCAAAAAAGGACCAGCAGGCTCTGCTGGGGAGGGGCCCCAGCTGCCTCACTGGCACAGGGCCTAGCAGGCTTCCCGGGAAGGGGCCAGTGCCACAGCAAAGCCCAGCGCAGCCCAGCCCAGGCAGGCATCTGCTCACAGGCCAAAAGTCGAGAGAGCTTCTGCAGGCCTTCGGTCGTTCGTATTTAAACCCGCTTTTCCGCAGAGGCGTGTGCAAGTCTTCTTGAGTGGTTTAACCGCGTATCAATCTTCAAACCTGCCAGCTGATTGGCTCTCCAAACTAGCCAGCTGATTGGCTCTGCCAGGCCCCCAGGGACCCGCCCCTGCGGCCAGTGGGCTCCTCCCCAACGGAAGGCAGCCTGTGTTAGAGCAGGACGCCAGGTAAGGAGCCACCAGCCTCTCTCCCTGAGGGAATCCGGGAATGGTCTGCTGCAAACACCTAATGTCTTCCAGGGACAGGAAAAATGCTGAGGTGCATAGGAAATAAGAGACTTGTGGAACAATGAGGCTGCTTGGCCTGACTTTGTGGAGAGGCTGTAGGCCCAAAGGTCTGTGTTTCCTCAGGGGACAGGGCCCTTGTAGGTCCTGCCAAGCTCGGGGTGGCTTTGATACAAAACAGGTGTGTGGTCTGGGATGAGTGCACCTGATGGGAAATGGTGGCTGTCTCCCACACTGGTGTCCAGCCTGTCCACCAAACATACCAGCTCCATAGATGGTGAGTGGTGTTGCACTTTGAAGAGCAAAGAGGAGATCTACTAACCCTGTCATCTCTGCTGTTGATTCCTTAGGTGTGTGTGGCTGAGAACAACCCTACTTGCAGGGAGAGCCTTTCTCTGCTCTTCTCTTGTGCCCTCTAGGAAGAGAAGGGAATTTGGTCAATGACATTAAGGAATCCTGCAAATTCTACCTTAAAAAACCTACCTATATTGGGCCTGAAAGAAAGGAAGGTAGGAAATAAACCCTCTTTGGATGCAGGGAGGCAGTTGAGCTCTGCTGTGGTGGGTGGTGGGAGGTCAGCGTGAGGAGATGGGCTGTAATGCTTCATGCCAAACCACCCCAGCTGCTCCACCATGGCCTCATTGAATGCTTCCAGCCCAGCTGGTGGGTGGTACAGCCATTCTGTAGTGCTTGGGAGGAGGCAGAGAGCCCAGCCCAACCTGCCAAAGAGACAGCTCTGACAGCCACCCAGCAAAGTGGGTGGGATGGGATACAATATTCCTCTCCTGCAGCTAACAGCTACGTGAGAAAAACTTTCCCTGGCCCACCACAGCGTAGTGCTGTGCCAGAAACAGGCATTAATTCTGGCTGTCACTCATGACTAGCATGGGGGTGGCCCTAAGATTTATAGGGACCTGCCCCAAGGTGCCTTTGTGGCCAGCAGAGGACGGAGGGATGCAGAGGCAAGGCAGGGGATGGTGATGAATAGATGGAGGTGTGAGGGAGGCAAGTGGGGATGAAACAGATGGCTCTGGGGATGCAGTGCAGCCCTAGGAGAGAAGGAGCAGGCTCTTGCAGTGTGGCCCAGGCACCTCAGCCCCTGAGGAGAGCCCAGGCAGACGTTTAAAGACGTTTAAAGGCACACGTTTAACCGGGCTCCTGTTCAAGAACTGCTGTCAGGACTCAGATTAGCATGAAGGTTATTTTCAGTCAAATATTTCTACAGTCCACCCCTTTCCCCTCTCTTTCAGTGATTGAATTTCTTTTTTCCCATAGTGCTGTGGAAGAGAGGACGAGAGGAACAAGGCAGGG